AGTACTGAAACCCTTGATCGGTGATTGTCGTGCAGCGGGTGAGGTCCATTTCCTCGATTCTGGATGCAGCATGCGACGCAATATGATGCATCGAGCGATCGGTAACATGTTTGCAGTAGGATAAGGTCAACTTCTTGAGTTCGGGGCAGCCATACACAGTCCCGGTTGCAGTTTGCATGGTGGGTTTTAAGGATGCTTTGCCGGACTTCGCAGACTCCTCGCTGGGCTTATGTTGACCGGGTACAACCCAGCCTACAATCCGCGCCAATAGTGTGTCGCCCACCTTTCGACAGTTGCTAAGATCAACCTCTTGCAAGCCTTTTGCTTTACTGGCCATGTCAAGGATGGCCGATCCCGTTACGTCCCACACACTCTTCATCTTCCAGGCAGTAACGTTGGAACCACATACAGCAACCAGCTTGCTGAACCCCTCATCCGTGATGTGGAAGCAATTGCTAATGTTGACGTAGCGGGGTCTGCTGCCGACAAACGGGCAAATGATTTTCGCTAGGACGTCATCCGTGATGCACCTATTATACACACTCAAGTCGAGATTATGGAACAGTTCAGCGGATGTGCTCAGGAGCTCAGACCAGTGCATCGAGACAGCTCGGAGGCGTAGAAGGTCATGAAGCTTCATATGCCGGAAGATCTTTGTGAGGATATTATCCGGAAGCACGCCATGGTTATCCTGGCGGGGTACACGGGTGCTTTCCTGGGACGTGGAAAGTCTAGAGGATCCAGTTAACGTGAGAAAGGATGAACTCGTGGACCGTGGCTCAGAAGATGGAGTTGATGGCCGCTGTTGTTCTCCGGAGGCTTCCTCCGGGGTCATCGGGGCAACAGATCCGCGTCGACTTCGAAGCCGAACTTTATCCAAGCCGATGTTAAGAAACGGATCTGGATCTGATGGGCGTAAGAGAGCCTGCTCATCTACACCATTGGGTCTTGGCGTGCTATCCAACTCTGTCTCTGTCAGTGTTAGAAGCGGCATAGACTGCCTCCGAGAAGCCCTTAATTTGAAGTTATCATCGACCTCCATATGATTGCCGTAAGGCTCAGCGCCCGCATCATCTGACATCACAACATCGCCATCAGAGGCCGACTGGAGCCGCTCTTTAGCGGTTTGCTCGACTTGCTGACGGACCTTTTGGGGACATCTCTCCCAGAACTCGGCCAACACCTCACCGCTGATCATCAAACATTCTACCGCACTAATAGACCGCACAGTAGCGGTCCTTCGAGGTGCTAGCGACAGGCTTACGACCTCTCCAAAATACTGGCCTTGTTTCAGCCGTGCTTTTACCTCGAAGCCCGGGTGTTCGATAGTTTTCGGTAGGGACTGCGTTTGCTGTGCTTCTGCCCTCTCCGATAGGACCTCCACTTCGCCGCGAACAATGAAGTATATCTCACGTCCCTGAGAATCCTGTTTGATGATGTCGGTGAAAGGAGGGTAGGATCGGGGTTGCGCATTGAGTCCCAGGAAGTGAAGGATATCCGGCGGCAAGCCGGCAAATAGCGGTAATTCCTTGAGAAGAAGACGGACATTGACCAGTCCATTCGCCAGCGCACTGGATGATCTGTCAGCCAATCCAGGGCTGGGGGATTTCCGCTTCTTGTTGACGGACGCCAATGACCTGCCATCCTGCTCGCTGAGACTGAGGTCTCCAGAAAACGTGTCTCTCACTCTTTTCGAGCCTCTTCTGACCGGACTTCCGGGCTCGACCACTGGCACAGATGTTTCCTTCTTCTTTTTCTCCAAGATCATCAATCTCTCCTGTGCTTCATCCCTAATGGCCCGCTCTACATCAGGAAAGCGGGGGAGGATTTGTCTGAAGTCCTCCTTGGTCAGTACGACCAGTAAGCACCTGGTGCGGGCGACGATGGTCGCCGTTCGTGGGCGATCCATCAACACGCCAATCTCACCAAAGAATGCACCTGCTTCGAGGTCGGCATACACACTCTCGCCATCGCGGGAAGTCACCGAGACCGCACCGCGGACCAACCAGTAGATAGCCTTGGCTTCGTCGCCTTCCGTCAGGATGTAGTCATTGGCTTGCTGGAGTTGGGGGCGGAGATGCTGGCCGACATCGATCAGGAACGATTCTGGGGTGGATTGAAAGAGAGGAAAGGAGCGCAATCGGTCGATGAGGTCTAGCGGCAAAGCTCGGATGTTCGATGAGGTCAATGGCGACGGACGTACAGGACGATTGGGGTTTATCACCGAGTCGAACGAATGTAGCAGGGATGCGGTTTCGGAGATAGGAGTGACGGCTTTAGTCGAACCTCCGCTGGCCCTTCCATGGCGGCGCATTGTGAAACGGTTGAGGGGAGGTTCCAGGAAGCTTGGGAAAGATACAAAGGGGTTTTAGAAAGAAGATTTGATGGAGGAGCATATAGTTTAATTCGGCCCCAAAGCGATCAATGAACCGATGACGTCGACGAAAAAGGGAATCACGGGGGGAGCTTTTTTTTTTCAGAGAGACATCGTTCGGGAACCACGGTGCGGGGGAGGAGGACAAGAGATTCGGGACAGGACAATCGGCTTCGAGCCGTTCAGAGTTGACAGTGGGAAGAAGAGCGACAATTAATTCAGGTTGCAATAAGAGTAGGTCTGCAGAAGTGAAGCAAAAATGGAGTGATGGGCTAAAGTGGTAGAAAATAGTCCTGAAGAAGGACTACAGAGCATAATGGATGGATGGAGGGGAGTGGAGGGGACGGAAGAGGGGAGAAGAGGGGAGTTGAAAGGGTGGTTGAAGAAGCTGGGTTAGTTAATAGGAATAAGAATAATAACTAATAATTAGTAGGTAGTTTTAGTAGTTTAGTCTGCTTAAGTTGTGAGTCGGCGGAGCAGAAGGAGCAGAAGGAGCAGCAAGAGTAGCAACAGCTTCCCACAGTAGCTACTAGTTAAGCCTAGGACTCTAAGACTAGAACTGACTCTAGGGAGACTAGACACTGCAGTTAGTCTAGCAGCAGTAGCAGTTGCAGCAGTTGCAGTTGCAGCAGAGCAGCAGCAGAGCAGCAGAGCAGCAGAGCAGAGCAGCAGCAGCAGCAGCAGCTTAGAGAGGCTAGTCCAACAAGCAGCAACATGAAAGCGGGGATCACCAACGTCAAATTCTTTGGTTGAGGCTCCACCGCCGCCGCAAATGGTCAGTGAGTCTGGGAGTGAGTCTGGGACCCGATGGAGAGTCTGGGACTCTAGGTCTCTTTCGTTCTGTTCTTTCTTTCAGGTTTCTCTCCGCCACTTAAGGTTCCACACTGTCGGTACAATCCCCTATCCAACCAATATCCCCCTCCCCTCCCCCCCCCCCCCCAACGGAGTATGTTCAAGCAAGCCATCCACCATCTTGTCAACTCCCAAGCAATTTTGCCTAGAATAAGCAGGTGCGAGAGTTGTACTCATATGGTGAAACATGTGGCCTATCTTTCTGGAACAATTGGGACTTCTTCTTATCCACTGCCGCTGCTGGCGGCAGCATAACACAATCAATAAATCATAGCTACCGGCAAGCAATCATTGATGAAGCGGAGACCATTACCCGTTTCTCTCGCCACTTCTTTTCTGTTCTCTTCTCTATCTTTGGTGTCTTATCAAGTTGGCACTTATTATAATTTCTCACAATCGAGTAGATCCGACAATTCTTTCGAATTCAGGCTGCTGCAAGTAGATCTCAAGTCGTCTCGTTATCAACGGCCACCTGCATGTAGCGATCAACCAGAGCACGACCTCTTACCCGTAGAAGCAAAGCAACACCACTTGTTTGGCTTGTTTGTTTGCCGCTTTTGTCACGGCTTGGGGACCGCTTTTGCAGGCAGCTCATCCTGATGCCATTTGGTGTATGAGCATGAGCAGTGAGCATCAGAGCGCGGTTATTCAAAAGTTACCAGAGGCTGCATGAAGTTCACAGAGCGTAGTTTGTTTGTTGCGGGGCTGCTGGATCATTGGATTGTCACAATTCACCAATGTCCATCCCCACGCATTGTACTGAGAAAGTTACCCCTCGTAGCCAAGTCACCTGCATTGCTGAACTAACATGCCACATGACAACCTTATCCCCTGCAGCGGGAATTATGCGTCACCCTACTCCGTAGGCTGAGCAATTTCTGGTACTCACTAAGCTCTGATTCAACCCAGCGTTGATGCAGACTCACTTGAATTCAGTTCACACAAAATACGTGTATGTTCACGTGTCAGCAATGGAGCATACTGTAGCATTTAATTAAGATCTCCCTTGCTGACGCGACTGAATGGGTCAGATGATGCCGCATGCACATTGGTTCAGACACCAGTCCTAGAAAATAGTACGCAGAGGACTGGCCCTTCCTGCTTGCTGCGATGGAAAACAACATCAAGTTGCAAGGCTCAAGTATGCTTTAACTTAACTTCGAGCTGTCTGTTCAGGTTTCTAATACAGAGCTGGGGGAGTGAATTTCACACGACGAATTGGCACTTTCACTCGTAGATAGAGAATCAATGGACCAACAGGGTCATGAAGATACATAAAAACTATATGACAAGTGAAGCCGAGTATTTAGCACTGAGTTTCAGCGATTACCGGTATCAATGCATATGGGGGCTTGCCGCCCACTCTCTCGAGGCGTGAGATCACTTCGCCCTCGTCAATGTATAATAATGGCAAGCCACGATACCAGAGACAGGAAGACCTAAGCAATTGCGATAGCATCTGTGTCATCAATGGCAGCTCCGTCAAGGAACATCATGGATGTGCAGAGTGCGCGCTTTTTGGAGAGTAGATCCAAAAGAGATTCACTGGTGCTTGTTTCCAGACAAACGCTCAATTTCACCATGCATAGTAAGGAGTGGTCGAGAATAACTATCTGGAGACTCCATCTCCGTGCCGTAGGCTGGAAGTCTGGACGTCTGACATGATGCGGCAAATCATGGATGTATACTCCCAGATTTGACAATCCACCGCTTCTTCGTTATTCGTATTCGTAGGGTCGCGCCGTGGCACCTACCGGAGCGGGAAGTGTCCTTGCTGTGCTGGGCAAGGCAGTAGGTTTGAATATGTATCCAAAGAATCTGGGCCTGTGGCTCTGATGTAGAGCTTTCATATCGGAAAAAAGGGCTGTGTGATCTTCAATATCATCACTCGGCCTTCGATTGAGGTTTGCCCATGATAAATCTGACATAGGCGGGCGGGTTGCCCTTCAAGTATGCAAGGCCGTCTTGAAGCAGTCCGTATGTCAGGCCTAATTTCAGACCAAGTTTGGCGGTACGGGCTGCAGTGAAGACATCATGACGGGCTAGACAGATAGGAATAGATTAGCTGGCAATCTTAAGAACGCCGAGGAGCTTCAGTAACGGACCTAAGAGGCTGTAGATGCCTGAGAATGACAAGCCTGCTACAACCGTCGACAGAAAATCCCGTTGGCCGTGTCGGGCACTGTCCACGATATCCTCAAAGACGGTGAAGACCATGGCACTACCGCCTAATCTGGATCCCATTCTAAGTCCCTCTCGCATGCCTGCGACGGTAGCAACATATCTCCGAGTCTTATGGTATTGCCACCACGCCATTGAGGTCAAAGGCTGTCGATGAGCGTTCTCCGCGCGGAAACGATAGGCCGACGTGGTGTTGCCTTTGGAGAATCCGAGACACAAGCCTACGCCAAAGGCAGTAGCACCTGTAGCCATCATGCGCCTTCCAATACTTACTCCTAGTCGTTGATATGGATCAACACTAAGGAGCTCCTCCTTCATGGTAGCGTAGGACAAGGACTCGGGCGCGTCTGATGGTTGCTGGACATCCATGCTGAATGGTAGATAAAAGTGACCCGTTGGATTCAAACTGATTGCGAACCAAGTCAACGATAGATAGGGCCTGGCAAATGCTGTCGGTTCGGTGTGCAATTGGCTGTGAGAGAGTGTCACTTTCTCTGAACGTGAGTTTTGACGTGCGGTGGACGTGCCGGACTCGACTTTTGGCGGCTCGCCGAGCTCCGAACTCCAAAGGCTCCGCGGTCCCGCCAAAGCTCAGCCATCAGCTTCACAAGCACTAAATCGCACACCATGGTAGGTACCGCCTCGCGCTGATCATTAAACAAAGTCAAACTAAACTGATCAATTTACTTACAGCCTCAGCCCGATCCTCTCAGCTGGACTTTGTTGTTCAAAAAGCACAGAACGACCGTGCTTCTGATGCTTCCTGCATCCGAAACGGTCGCCGCAACCAAAAATGCATTGCTTCGGGCCCTTCAAGCTCGGGGCCTGAGAGATATAAATGGAGATGTCGTTCCAGTGGACGCTTCCGAAATTGAGCTTGGTGTTCCGGTAGACAAGAATGACTTGGAAAAAGGCTGGACGAAGCTTGAGGTTGACGTCGCCGACTTCGATGTTGCCGCCGCGCCCAAACGAGGAGCCGGGAAGAAGGCAGCCGGTTCGCTCACCTTACTAGCTGCCGATATCAAGAATGGACAATCCATCGCGTTCAGGTTCCGGAAGCCTACGACCGACGATTTTGAGAAGAACGATGAGTTGGCTGAGCTAGATCTGGAAGATCCAGGATGGGATGTTGTCCTCCCTAGCTTCGAAGACGAAGAAGATGACGTCCAGAACTGAGTGCTACCTTCAGCCGAAAATAATGAAATGAATGACATCAAGCCCGTCTGTTGGCTGCAACTGAGATCCAGTATACCACACAGGTTGACAGAGGTTGCTACCCGGACAAGTGAGCCATGACCAGAATAAAATGTCGACAGTCTCATGATATTAGCTCTTATGCAATCTCTGGTCAATAGCAGTACGCTTGCGCTTGCATCTTCTCTCTGTAAGAGCGCGATACGATGAGCTATCTACACTCTTGAGTTACCCTGGCGCATGGCTCATATCGGTCTATAGCAGGCGGCTTTAATAAGCTTCCGTGATTATCACTTTAATAAGATCCTTAGTGTACAACCACATGCTTCTTTTCTAACTCATTCCCTGATTTAAGATTCAAGACCTCGCTTTGGTCTGGAACTGCTATCAGATTATAGCGCAGATCCATAGTAAACTGTAGACGAGGAGTCCGACATAATAATCTCAACTGATCATGTAGATACCCGTCTCTAGCCGTTGGCATTGAAGGTGGAGAAGATGGATCAAAGGTGCGTGGTGATAGTCACAAGCTGGACGTGCTCTTTCAATGGCTGTCGGCCGGGATATGTGAAGCGGTGTGAAAGCACCGCAGGGGCACGGCAAGCCTACTTTATCCACACGTCGTCCGGTTGCTAGGAGCAACAAGGCGGTGGAAAACACGTCAATGTCAACAGATTGGCCGAAGGTCGAACTAGTGCCAGCGTTGCTCAACAGGGGAGACTTTCTGGGGCCGTCTTGATTAATAGGTCCACAATCAACATTCCTCACTTCCACGTTCTGTGCACCTAATTTTTCCATCTCTTCGTTGTTCTTTCTTCGTCTGCCTTGTTGACGGTACAGGGCGTCGCTCCCCTGGATAGCCGACCTCCGCGTTGAATTACCTAGAGGGACGTGACGCCTCTGCGGTGATAGTTGGTTGCACTATTACAATATGACCGACGCTTCTTCCATCACTGTCGCGGTCCGGGTAAGGCCGTTCACAATTAGAGAAGCAGCACAGCTCTCAAAATGTGAAGACGGCCCATTGTTCCTTGGTGACGGGTCACTGGCGGCAGCGCCGACACCCAAGCTCAACCAGAAGGGTCTCCGATCTATCATCAAGGTCATTGACGATCGATGCCTGTGAGTAGCACAGCATGCGTGGCCAGTGTGCATGGCTTGACTGATCTCTGTTTCTACTAGTGTTTTCGATCCCCCGGAAGACAACCCTGTCCAAAAGTTTTCGAAAAGCGTCGTACCAAACGGAAAACGCGTCAAGGACCAGACCTTCGCTTTCGATCGAATTTTTGACCAAAATGCCTCTCAGGGCGAGGTATATGAATCAACAACGCGGGGCCTTCTCGACAGCGTACTAGATGGGTACAATGCTACTGTGTTTGCTTATGGTGCTACGGGCTGTGGAAAGACTCATACAATCACTGGAACCGCCCAGCAACCGGGTATCATCTTCATGACGATGCAGGAGCTCTTTGAGCGTATCGATGAACGATCAGACGAAAAAGCAACCGAGATCTCGCTCTCCTATCTCGAAATCTACAACGAGACAATTCGTGATTTGCTGGTGCCTGGAGGTAGTAAAGGAGGTCTGATGCTTCGGGAGGACTCCAACCATTCGGTTTCGGTGGCTGGCCTGTCGAGCCATCATCCGCAAAATGTCCAGCAAGTGATGGATATGATCATGAGGGGCAATGAATGCCGCACCATGTCGCCTACGGAGGCCAACGCTACCTCTTCGCGCTCGCATGCGGTCCTTCAGATCAATATTGCACAAAAGGATCGGAATGCAGATGTGAACGAGCCCCATACAATGGCCACATTGAGCATCATTGATCTTGCAGGAAGCGAGCGTGCCAGCGCTACAAAGAACAGAGGAGAACGACTCTTCGAAGGTGCAAATATTAACAAATCCCTCCTTGCCCTCGGGAGCTGCATCAACGCGCTTTGCGATCCCCGAAAGCGAAACCATATCCCTTATCGAAACTCGAAACTTACCCGGCTTCTGAAATTCGCGCTGGGCGGCAATTGCAAGACAGTTATGATCGTCTGCGTCAGCCCATCAAGCCAACATTTCGATGAGACCCAGAATACGTTACGCTATGCCAATAGAGCGAAGAACATCCAAACGAAAGTTACGCGAAATGTCTTCAATGTTAACCGCCACGTCAAGGACTTCCTGGTGAAGATCGATGAACAGATGGCGTTGATTAATGAATTGAAGGCCCAGCAAAAGAACTATGAGAAGGTTGCGTTCGCCAAATTCAGGAAGCAAACCGAGAAGAAGGACGCTGTCACGCGAGAAGGAATCGCTCGTATCCGCAGCGCTTACGAACACTCACTGCCAGAAAGGCAGGAGAGGACCAGCAACATGATCAAATTGAGACATATTAGCCGCCGGATCGGACTACTCTCATCTTGGATCGCGGCATTCGATCACGTTTGTGCATCCTCCGAGTCTGAACAACCACTATCCAATCTCAGAGCCATTCGCAAAACAGCACAAGGAATCCTTCTCGAATTGGAGAGTAGCAGGCAACACTATCATCAACGGTTGGCAAAGTCCACGTGGGACCGCAGCTTGGTTAGTGCTGTCGAGCATGCTGTTCGTCAGCTCCAAGAATTCAATTTCAATGACAGCAGCGACATCGACAATATCCATCGCGAAGCGGAATTATTGCGAGCAAATACGGAGCGCGAGGCTCTCTCCGCGGTTGCTGAACAAGATAAAGCTGGGGACGCAGCCGCCGTGCAAACGCTGCTTCAGGCTCAATTCGAAACTATCTCTGAGATTGAGAATATCATGGAGATGAGTGAAGAAGAGGCTGTCGAGACAGGCAGAAAGATTCTTGCCAGAATGCTTGGTTCCTGCTCTATCGTGACATCTAGCCTGGTCAAGCCTGATGGTAGTGTTCCGTCTCTCTTACCAGCCAGTCCCATTAAGACTATGAGCTCTCCCAAGCAAAAGAAGAGGGTTAGTTTAGCCGCTGCACCGCCCATCGGTCGACTCTCATATACACCTGTGGTCTTGACCCCAGCAGCACCGCCTTCTCCTACCAAAGGTTCTCCTAGACGCCGCAAGCTGAACGTGGGAAGGAAGAGCGTCAGCTTTTCGCCCAAGAAAGCCCAGCCAAAGCCGATCATCAAGAGAAGTGTGCGGTGGAGGGATGACGAAGAAGATGGTGCATTGACGGAAGTCCAGAAGACCCCTCAAAAGCCGGGTTTAGCACCAGTACCAGAAGCCAGCCCTGGAGAACCACCATTGCCTCGGGCATCTCCTATCCCGCGCGGAATTCCAGTGCCCACCCGCAACTTCAGTCCGTCAAGCGCCTCGTCCCCAATCTCAGCTGTACCAGAACCGACGTTGAATATCCAGAAGAACAACAGCCGCTTCAAAACTGGGTTCCTTTCGAAAAAGCCCGGTAGTTCGCCGATGGGACCACCTCCCACGTCCACACTTCCCCTGTCCGACAACGAAGCCTCGCCCCTCCGGGACATTGAGAACAGCAGCTTTTTGAACCGTTCAGTCGAGCGCCCCTCAAGAATTGCCGTTCGCACACCGAGTGGAAGCTACTCCGGCAGCCCTGCATCAGACACTAAGAGTGCAACAAGCTGGAAGGCAAGCAAAGATGACGCTATTAAGATAACGTCTGCAATGAGGCGCATCTCCGGAGGCTCGTTTGGAATTGGACCATCGGCTAACGCACTCCGCGTTCACCGTCGCCGAAGCCCAACAGCTGTAACCTACGGCAGTTCTCCCACGGAGAATACCATGTTCACAGCTTCGCAGGCACGACGCATGGTTAAGAGCGAGAAAGAGGAGACCAAACCTCGTGTCTTGAGTCCTCGTGCTCTGCCGATCATGAAGAACACACAACGCCGTAGCACATTGGGTGGAGACATTCGCCCGCGAGATATCAGCCTTACCAGTCGTGATGCCATAAGGCTCAGCATGGTGGCAGCCCCTTCCTTGGAGAGACCTCCAGAACATCTCTACCCCAGCAATGGATTCGGTATGAGGTAGATGAATTGCATATGAAATTGTTTGGTGTCATTGCATTGGTGATTTGGGTTGCTGGTACGGTGTTTGGGAATAGATACCATTTGCTTTCGTCCATCCTTGAAATTAAGACCGCGCAATCCGAGATTCGGTACAAACCTTATACTATACTTCTTCTCAGCTTGAAGGGGCTTGAGTTCCATCCAGGGCTTGGACAGACATCGTCGGCCATCTTCTTCCTTCATTGTTGATGGTTACATGCTTTTGTTTTCTTTTCCCATGAGTGGCATATTGCTCGGGATATGTACAATAAAAGCTTGCTGCAAGGTTTTCGTGGCCAATGCGCGTCTACAGGAGGCCATCTATCCAGCCCACTGCTGAATAAGATGATAATAATACCTT